ATGAAATCCAGGGGAAATTGAATAATGCTTTGACTATGCAATGGAAATCAAAGGAGAGTTACATTGATTGTTTTACTTCAATTAGGGCAGCTGTAACCAACTAAACCCTATGGTAGTTTTAATTTTGAGGAGTTTTATCAACCTTTATAATGGCTAAGAAAAAGTGACAGCACATTCCTTTGACTTGGGATGCTGACCCTCAGCTCACAGCTGTCAAACAACCCAATCTTAAAAAAGAAATTCAGCGAGACATGCTACAGAGCCATATTACATGTCTCCTGAGGTTAATGTTATACAGCTCCAGGTCGACAATCCATCTCTTAGCTGAAAATGTCAGATGGAGGGCAGGACCCAGTAATGAGCACTGACATGGAAAGAACAATCCATCTAGATTTTTTTTTAAAAAGAGACATACATGTACTCAACAGCTTAGCTCACAAACTTATAGACATTTCCTCCATCTGAACTATCATTTCCAGATAGACACACATGCCTGAACCGCTTCAAAATCAATCAGTCATCACTGAAGATTCATAAATAAGCACAGGCCTATCAGTCAGATGAGAAAGAGACAATGGTCATTATTTTTACTCACACACACACAGATACAGATACACGAATTTGTGTAAACTCGTAGGCATACAAGTACACTTAAGTACCAATTCCAACTACAAAATGCCATTGGTTTGTTTCCCAATGCCTCAGTTTGACAAACTGCAAATTTCCAAAGCATTGCAGCAATAATTTGAATTGGACAAACATTTAGAGTTCTAAACGGCAAACCATTTCAACAGTACGTCCATACCTTCTGACTGAAATCAAAGACTTCTTCCAGTCAAACAATAGATAATAGAGCTTGTTTTGCAATTGTTTCTGCCACATTGTTAGAAGATTGTAACAGCCTTCTTCATATGAAGACAGAATTTTGTTTTCGTTATAATTGCCAGTTGATGTGTTGCACCATCCCACCCTGCAATCAAATAGTCTGTCAACCATCATCTGTGGAGAGAAAGCAAAATTAACTTTTTGGGTCTAGTGACCCTTCTTCAGAACTGATTTTAACTAGTAAAAGATTCGTACATAAAAATGGAGATGGAGCCATTTGAACAACAACTCCCTTAACTCCTTTCACTTTCTTAAGGTCAGAGGTGTGGCTGTGGGTTCCCGTATAGACCCCAGTTATGCTTGTCTGTTTGTGAGGTAAATGGAACATTCCTTGTTTCAGACCAACTCTGGCCCCCAACCACAACTGTCTGGTACATCGATGACATAGTCAGTGCTGCTTCCCTCTCTGACCTGGAATTGGAAAAGTTTATCAGTTTTGCTTCCATTTTCCACTTTGTTATCTTCATCTGGTCCCTCTCTGGCTGCTTCCTTCCCTTCCTCGACATTTCTGTTTCCATTTCTGGGGAAAGGCTAGCCACCAATAATCGCTACAAACCCGCTGATTCCCTCCGTTACCTTGACTACACATCCTCATACACTGCTTCCTGTAATGACTGTATTCCATTCTCCCAGTTTCTCCATCTCCGTCACATTATAGGGGTGGCACGGTGGCTCAGTGATTAGCACTGCTACCTCACAGCGCCAGGGACCCGGGTTCAATTCCACCCTTGGGCGACTGTCTGTGTGGAGTTTGCACATTCTCCCTGTGTCTGTGTGGGTTTCCTCCGGGTGTTCCAGTTTCCTCCCACAGTCCAAAGATGTGCAGGCTAGGTGGATTGGCCATGCTAAATTGCTCGTAGAGTTCAGGGATGTGTAGATTAGGTGGGTTATAGGGGGATGGGTCTAGGTGGGATGCTCTGAGGGTCAGTGTGGACTTGTTGGGCCGAAGGGCCTGTTTCCACACTGTAGGGATTCTATGATTCTATTTGTTCCAATGATGCCAGCTTCTACAAGGGGACCTCAAAAATCTCCACCTTCTTCTTCAGCTGAGGATTCCCCACCACTGTGGTTGACAGGGCCCTCAGTCATGTCTGAGCCATCTCCTGCACTTTGGCCCTCACCCCGACTCTTCCCTCCCACAGCAGCGGTAGTGTCCGCCTTGTTCTCACCTACTATCCCAAAAGCATCCACATCCAAAGGATTATTAGCCACCATTTCTGCCACCAACAGACACAAATTCTAATCCCCCCTTCCCTTATCAGACTTCTGCAGGGACTGTTCCCTTCAGGACTCAAAATTTTAACTCTGCTGCCAGACCTGTTACGGTTGTCCAGCAATTTCTGTATTCGTTTCTGATTTCCAGCATCTGCAGTTCTTTATTATTTTTTAGTCTGTCAGCCACTACTGTCCACAATCATCTAGTTGAGATACAGGGGTATTAGCTTTTCAAAGTTTTGTGTCGAGCAAGGAGTTAAGTTCTCTAGCTGGAAGTGGTGTAGTTTGATGAAGATAAATGAGGGAAAAATCATAAAATTACATTTTGTTAAAGTAAATATGCAACCATTTCTCATTGAAGTTTTAGAAATATGTCGAGTAACGTATTTTATACTGTACAACTTGAAGTTCAACATTAGCAAATTATTATAGTCTACCTCTTTATGTTCAGCACTGTTCTTTTCATTATCACTTATTGTTTAATTTTCTTTTAGCTTCTTCTGCAATTATTTGCACTATAACTGTGAGGTAATTGGACATGATAGCTAAATAAAACACCTGCAGCAAATAACATAAGTAAACATGTTATACTGTGTATGATTCAAGGTGAAAGGCATTCAGCAAAGTACTCAAGTAGAAATTTGTTTCAGAGGTTGAACGCACAATAGGTTAATTAACCCAACTGAGCTCCAAGCAGAAAGTACAGAATATAAAGGCATTATGAGGGAGCAACCAAAGATTACAATGAATCTCCTAGAATACATCAACATTTCTATCAGCCACCTCTGGAAATGTTACAGTGATAAGGGAAGGGAGAAAGTTTCATTATTGCCCCTACTATACATTGGAGGATACATTCCATTTTCTGTATTGGTTCCACTTGAAAGACACTCAAGATGCTCACCGACAAACAGGACGAAGTAACATTTGATTTGCGTCCATCTGCCACAGTGACAGCAGTGCACACCACCTACAAGATGCTCTGCAGTAACTCACTAAGCTTCTTTTTACAGCACCTTCCAAATCCATGACCCCTACCACCTAGAAGAACAAAGGCAGCAGTTCAGAGATAGTAGGAACTGGAGAATCTGAGATAACAAGGTATAGAGCTGGATGAACACAGCAGGCCAAGCAGCATCAGAGGAGCAGGAAGGTTGACATTTTGGGCCTAGACCCTTCTTCAGAAATGGGGGAGGGGAAGGGGGTTCTGAAATAAATAGGGAGAGAGGGGGAGGCGGATAGAAGATGGATAGAGGAGAAGATAGGTGGAGAGGGAACAGACAGGTCAAAGAGGCGGGAACAGCGGATGCAGTATACCACATTAGCAGATGTGCAGGTGAACAGGTCATTCTTTCCTCGTTGAAGAGACCGATCCGCTGTTCCCGTTGTGGCCTCCTCGACATCGGGGAAACCAAGCAGAGGCTTGGGGACCGCTTTGCAGAATCCGCTATTCCCATTGTGGCCTCCTCTACATCGGGGAAACCAAGCGGAGGCTTGGTGACCGCTTTGCAGAACACCTACGCTCGGTTCGTACTAAACAACCGCACCTCCCAGTCACGAGCCATTTCAACTCCCCCTCCCATTCCGCAGATGACATGTCCATCCTGGGCCTCCTGCAGTGCCACAACGATGCTACCCGAAGGTTGCAGGAACAGCAACTCATATTCCGCTTGAGAACCCTGCAGCCCAATGGTATCAATGTGGACTTTACAAGCTTCAAAATCTCCTCTCCCCCTACTGCATCCCAAATCCAGCCCAGCTCGTCCCCGCCTCTCTAACCTGTCCTTCCTCTCACCTATCCTCTCCTCCCACCTCAAGCCCCACCCCCATCTCCTACCTACTAACGTCATCCCACCCCCTTGACCTGTCCGTCCTCCCTGGACTGACCTATCTCCTCCCTACCTCCCCGCCTACACTCACCTTTACTGGCTCCATCCCCGCCTCTTTGACCGGTCTGTCTTCTCTCCACCTATCTTCTCCTCTATCCATCTTCTATCCGCCTCCCCCGCTCTCCCTATTTATTTCAGAACCCCCTTCCCCTCCCCCATTTCTGATGAAGGGTCTAGGCCCGAAACGTCAGCTTTCCTGCTCCTCTGATGCTGCTTGGCCTGCTGTGTTCATCCAGCTCTACACCTTGTTATCTTTATCAAAGGCAGCAGTTCTGTGGGAATACCGATGCCTGCAAGTTCTCCAAGCCACTCACCATCCTGAGTTAAAATGATATCACTTTTCTTAAATTGTTGATCTGCCAATATGCTGAAACCCCCTTCCTAAATGCACTGTGGGCATTGCTACATGCCAAAGACTGCAGTGGTTCACGAAGGTAGATGACCACACCCACGTTCTCCAGGGCAATTGGGGAAGTGCAACGTATTACCCTAGCCAGTAATATCTACATCTTCTGCTGATTTTTTTTGAAAAGTATAAAACAAAGGCAAAAATGTAATAAAATAGGAAAGGAATCAAATTCAAATGTTTATTTGTTTTCTCTCCACAAAATTTAACTTGTCTTTATTTAGTACCCTTTATGAATGGTAACCCAACTGTACATTGAGAAAGTTGATCAGCAAAGGTGCTGAACCAATGTTATGTCACTATTAAATGTGAATTTCACTTTGTGTAACATTTGCTGAAGTTTACACTGACAGGTCAGCAAGTGTTAAATGCTTTCACAAATGTTGCAGTCCCTGACTGAGACCCACATCCTTTGTGCCAGAGTGGGATACCACTCTCGACACTGGTGCTGGAGAATAAGAGTTATTGTCCTCAGCTGTTGCAACCACATTCCTTCTGCATCCTGCAGTTGCTTTCCACACAGTTCAACATAATGGCAGGCAGCAGTGTTGTGTTCCCTCATACCACTCTCACTAAAACATATGCTGTTTGTGATTATATTTCAGAACTATGAAGACCAACAGCACAGTGAACAAGAGAGTGAGGAAGAGGAAGGAGAGGAGGATGACATCACGAGTGCTGATTCGGAGGAAAGTGAGGAAGAGGAGGAAGCTGAACATGAAGAAGATCAGCAGAATGTCACCAGGCGGGAACAGCTTGAGTGGGATGATTCAACACTTCCTTATTAAGAAACCTCTAATCTTTCAAGTCCTCAAACAAAATTTTGATGTCCAGCAATATTTGGTATGGTCAGAATTTTATTTAGATTGCTGTTGCTGGTAATGTGTAAAGAACTTTCAGATTGTTTTCTGAAGTCAAAAGCGACTTGCAATGACATATCATCATCTGGGTCCAAGAGTTGACATCAATCAATAGTTATAATGCCTATCTTTCTTTTGTTATATCTGAGTGTTCTTTTTGTGGTTATCTGAATGTTCTATCTTTGCGCCAAGAACTATTAACTTTGTGAAATCACGTACCAGTATCTGTAACTTGAAATTTTCTGAAGTACTTTATTTATTTGTAATAAAAAAAACTTTCCCATTGGGTTATGCTGACGTTAGAAAAATGGGGAAAGTTTAAAAATGAAAAGCCAAATTTTATATTTCTTGATGTAAATACCATATTGAAAATAAGCAAAAGAAAGCAGTTGTGCAAATTATGTCTGCTCCAGGGTTCATCTGTTGAGAAAAAAATCAAATTCTATAATATTGTTTTGCAGAGCTTATGAACCACAAACATCTGTTTTGATTCTATTAAAATATGTATGGAATTTAAGATTGCTAGCAGGTAACATTTTGTTTGAGGTAATGTATTTTCTTCATTTGGTTTAGTGAGGCACAGTCTTCACAAAAATAGTGCTGGACACATTTTTATTTTAAGGAGGATTCAACAGTGAACTGAGCAGTGTATTTATTTCAAGGCAAGTGATGAAATATTTGTTTGATGTGCTTTATATTGTGACATACAAAATTTGCCAAAATCGTTCCTGGAAGCTGGCATGTTTAAAATCCTTAAAACATCAATTCACATGAGCTACAGTTAGATAAGAATTAATATTGTATGTTTCGTGGTTTCCCAGGATCACTGCAGCAAAACAAATGTTTAACTGACCCTTCTGCTTGGGTGATATAACATGCCATTTCACTTGTATAGCCTGCAATTTCATGCAATCTTCAACACTGAGGATGCAATTTATGCAACCATCTTATTAGCTGGCTGTGAGTGTGACTCGTACATCTTTACTCATAGTCCATTGGATTTTATGACACCTGTGGACTCCATTAGCATTTTCTACAACTTCATCCAACACATGGCTTAAAGGAGATCATCATGACAGGCCCTGGAGTCTGAGAACTTCATAGAACTTGTAGCAGAAAAACTGGCTAAACACTGGAAATTCACGTAGTTGAGAGAACATTCACAAGCAGTTTAAGCTTTGTCTATCCTCACTCATAAAAAACATGAGTATTCTATGTAATGTCCCAGAGTTATTTTCCATTGCACTGCAATGATCTGTTAATGTACATACTAGTGCAACAGATTTTCTCTTTTTTACAAGTATTATTCTCAATGAGTAATTCTTTGATTGTCAATGAGCCTATTAATATTGATACATACAATTGAAAGCAATAGGTAGCATTGGAATTGAGAAAGAAAACTCTCGTCCCCAAAGCATCCACTGCTTCCCATTCAGTCAGAGATGTGGTCTGCTCCCTTAAATTGCAATGATTCATCAATTTACTTCAAAGAATAGTTGTTAAGCATGAAAGGGTGATTTTAATTATCATTATTGGGGTGTTAAATCAGTGATAGAGCCCTTGTGGTGCAGCGGTATTGTGTAATAACATTTCTGAACAGATTGATTAGAAAATATCTGGTAAGCCAGTGAAATTTAAGTTATGTCCAAAATCTTTCGTAATAGCTACTCAGTACAGTTGTTTGAGTAGAAATACCCTTCCTGGAAGACTTGATTGATCACTCAAAAAATGACTTTAACAAGCACCCATTAATCTTGTTGGAATGAGCTGAGTAAACTGGAGTTCATACAATTAATCTCTGTGTAGAATACATTCATCTGTTATCTTGAGATTCTGTGGATCACAAATTTCTCGAACACTTTGGAATGAAGGTGAGATTTAATGATACTGACATCTGACCTTTAATAAACAAGGGTAATTTATGGTAGTTTCAGTGGTGCTATGCAGGAGTTACAATGGGAGGCTGGTAAAACCACTGCAGAAATTGAGGGCCTGGATGTTTTTTGTGCAACAGTCTTCTTATATCAATTTAAGCAGATTTGATCTAGTCTGGTACATGTCTATATTTTAACTGATTATGTCAACGTAAGAAATATTACTCAATGGAGAAACACAGCAGGTGTGGTAGCATCTGTAGGGAGAGAAAAACAGGTAATGTGTTGAGTCCAAGAAAGAATCACATTGGACTCAACATGTTAACTCTATTTGTCTCTTTCTGTTTTTGATTTAGAAATATCTATGCAGTTTCATTCAGTCAGTTTCTGGATCGCTGCAAACCATTTGTGTCAAATAACCAGCCTGACTATTTAATCACATTTGCTTTGTTATTTTTATATCACGACCAAGTTGTCTATAATTTACTCTAACTACCGCCACCAGAAATATAAGACTAAACTTAATTCTATCCAGTTCTAAACATCTAGCTAGTAATCTTTATCTATTACATAATTGTGTCTATCTTCAACTGGAACTATAAGGTACTTTGCATTATATTCACATCACATCACATTTACATTATAGTTGCAGAAAATTTCACATAGAAATTCAGTTCAGGTTCATTGCTTGTTTAAAAAATTAAGTGCATGTAAATAATAACAGCTGAGAAAAGATTCTAACATAGAAATCGAACTTTAATGAAATTATATATTAAAACTATCCAGTGTAATCAGTAGAATCAGTGAGTCTACCCTAGGTATGAATTCTAAGTTTATGTACCATATTTATATTACTTTAATGATGTAGCCTTTGCTCTTAAATCACTAAATATGTTCTAAATGTTCAATTAATTGACTAAGAAATCAATGCAATTTAAGTTTAGTAGAGATTTTAAAATGTTAAGATTGATATAAGAATATAAGATATAAGAAAAACTAAAAGAACACCATATCATAAAAACGTTTCTTGCAGTAAACAGGAAACGGTACATTCAATCGTTAATGATTAATGGCTGCTAAGTTCTCAATAAGCAAATACTGAGAATAAGTCCCTGTACAAGATAGAATTTATGGCCTTCAAAAAAACAAATTCAAACTATTAATTATTGTCATCTGATTTAAAATTTGAGGTAGACAATAATGTTAAATGCACATATATGTGTAGTTACGCATGTACAAAATATCTTTCTATATTTGGTCTTAGAGACAAGCCATAGATTGATCATACAAACTACATCAAGCCAATTGTCAGGGAATTGGTTAGGACATAGGAGTCAGAAGATAGGTATGTGCACCAATTTGTAAAGATGTAACTAGCAGTCTCCTCCGGGGATCTGCACTGAGGCGTCAGCTTTTCAATACACTTAACAGTGACTTATGTGAAGCAGTAGAGAGCATATTTGTTGAAGATGTGAAGTTAAGTGATGTTGTAAATGCGTGGGAGCAGGAAATTATAGGGAGACAGTGTTAGGTTAAGTCAGCAAACAGCACTGGAGAAGGTAAGATTTGTGTGTGGGGAAGTAAAATGCCATTCACTTGGGATCAAAAACAGTGGATCAGACTATTTTCTACTTGGTTTAAATAAAAAGTAGTCACTCTGGATGACAGAGATTTCACAGTTTACGTAGAAAAATAAATAAAAGCTGGGCAAACACCAAAAACAGTCATCAGTACTAGAACCACTGATTTTTTTGATATATACTTGAATTTCATATTAGAATATAGAGTATTATTTCAAAATTTGCTGATGATTCCAAACTTGGAAGGGTGACAAATAATGAGGATGATTTAAATTGATTGTAATAAGGCATAGGCCAGAAGAATGGGCAGACAAGTGGCAAATAGAATTTAACACAAAAAAGTGAAGGGTGGTGCATTTTGGCGGAAGGGATAGAGAAAGGCATCATAAATAAAATGGCACAGTTTAGAAAGGTGTACAGGGGCAGAGAGGCCTGGATGTGTATTTGAAAGATTTTGAAAGGTGCTTTAAGAGCGTGGTAAAAAAAGCATGAGCCACATAAATAGAAGCATTGAATGCGAAAAGCGGGGAAGTTATATCAAATATTGTAAAACTCTGGTTCGGCAGCAACTAGTGCATCACGAAGGCAAAAACTGGATGCTGGAGGTCTGAAATAAAAACATACTACGAAGGAAAATGAATAGGTCAGAATAAGAGTTAGATCAGAATTGAAACATTAACTGTGCCTTTTTTCTCTCTGTGGATGCTGCCAGTCCCGTTCAGTTTATCCAGCACTGACAGTTTTGATAGCTAAATTTTTCATTCAGATATCATCACCACACTTTAGGAAGAATGTGAGGGTTCTTGAGAATGCACAGGAGATTTATCAGAATGGGTCTCATAATGTGGGATTTTAACTAAACAATTAGTTTGTGGGAACTAAAGTTAGTGTCCTTGGAGCAAAGGAGATTGAGTGAAGATTTGCTAGAGGGGTACAAGTCTATGACAGGGTTGGATAAGGTTGATGAGGAGAAACTGTTTCCATTAGCTGAAGGTATGAAGACTAGGGGACATGGATTTACAGCTTTAGCAAGAGAGTTGTTATGAAGAACAAGTTTATGGAGCAAGTTGCGAGAACATAGAAAATGATGTGCACAAGGGCAGGTTCAAGAGAGTCAGTCAGCATCCCCCCTTTTAAGTGGGGTTGTGTGAGGGAGTGTGTGTGTTTGGACTGAGTATGGCAGGGAGAAAGGTGCACACACAGTAACAGGGACTACTCAGTGTGAAAACCCATTCAACCTCATCCTCCAGCTCTCCCCTCGCAACACACAGAGGAAACCTAGATTGAAAAGGAACCTGTTCTGGCTACCAGAGATGAGCTCAAGGGTGGTGCTAGTCAATCAGAACTCTGTTACTTTGTCCGCATACGCTCCACTTCCCAGGTGATGAAGATTTCAGCCAGCTCTGCTCCTGAAGTGAAAAGGTAAAGGAGATTGCTCTGCTGTTTGCCACTTCTTAATGGTCATTGTTATTATTTGCTCATTTTATAAATTATCTATTTCTTTATTGGTCATTAATTTCATTTTGCTTAA